TGTCATGTATGTAATGCGCACGACCCGTGTGTTGGTTGTCGATTGATTGGTACTTTACACAGCTCAGGATCAACAGCACCAGTCTGGCTATTGTTCGAACCTGAACCTGTTTTCTACTTGGTGGACCGAATGCCGGCTTCATACAGCCTTGGTGTGGGCTTAGTTGGCACGGGGTGTACATCTTGAGATAGCATCCTCGATTTGGGACGAGTACGTAAGACTACAGGTAGGGGGAGGGGGTGGAGCCAGAACTCCAGCCTTGCATCTAATTCATCCTGATAGTTACAAGACCCAAGTGGCATTAGAGGAGCAGGTCCTAGTCTTCGTACAGACTTGCATCGACGAGCTTGAATTTGAGCGTAGTCCGAGACGTTACACGTCTCGGTGTGATTCGAATCGGTACTAAGCAGTGGTGCTGCTGTGCGCATATTGCTTGTTAGCACGTCGAACTCCTGTCCGACCGTCAGCCATGAAGTACCATCTGAGTCATAAATGTAGATCTTATCACGGCGCCGTAAGACAACCTTACCAAAGTCCTCTTGCACCGATCGTCTCCCTACGCTTATAGGCCAGTTAAACCAATCTACTCTGTTAGCTAAAAGTGCCATGCACGTCCAAGTAAACTTGGTAGTACGGTTATAAAGCATACACATCGCCTAGAACTCGGTCGACTGATTGCTTACACTGTAAAATACCGAGACTCGACTGAGCCGCTCCGGGAGCGACGCTGGCAAGAACTTACTGAGCCTCTAACGTCGATATACAGAATGGGCCTCTTGCGCGCCCTTCTCCAGGACTCACGCCACTCGCGCCATTTAGGTCCGCCAACCATACCTGTATAGTGTATTCAGACGCGAATGCGAATCCTTCAACGTTCTCATTGATCCTTTCTTCGTTGAGGTAGTACAAGATCCGGATGGCTTGGAATACTAAGTTCCGACAAGACTAATGTTCGGCAGGGGCAGTGTGAAGGGGCGCAGGGCCACCGTGCCTTTCCAGCTGCTGCTTTAGTTCCTGCGGCGATGGGAGCGACAGGGCGCTCACTAAGTCCTCAGCATATCAATGTAAAAGGCTCAGGAACACGGCTTGCCGAGCCACATAAGTATCTCCTCATTCTCCATCAAGCGGCTTGTTAATGCACAAGGGTTGAATTTGTATGATCTTCTTGGCTCACTGATCATCAGAAGAAAACGTCATATTTTCGTAGTTCTTACGGCAGCATTGAACCAAAGATGAGAGCACTTGCGTGTACGGCAGCCCTGGCAATGTCCCTCCTTACGTTGGCAGTCGCAGCAGTGAATCCTACATTATACTCACCGAGTTCTAACGTTGTGTCTCCTACGCAAACGAGCAATGATGACAAACGATCACGTACGTATATGCTTAAATGCAGCTCTTATCCAACTACTTACACATATATAGTGCATCGCCTCGGTTTCCACGGATGCCATGGTTACCATCACGGGCGTCCACCCCCGGACAGTCATTGCTGATTCCACGTTCGGTGCCCTCGCACACTACCTCTGGACTCTCAAGTTGATATTGGAAGGGAGTTAAACGATGTTTTCTGCGCGGGGAGGTCCTGGACAGACTTGAGCCGTCTTTGCTTTGTGTAATATCGCAGGAGATGTCATGAAACGTGAATTAGAGGCCAGTTCTCTTTTGTTAATCGATTGATGCTGACATCCGTTTTGTTTTGTGCTCCGGCACCACATCCGACGGCGGTGATCCGGCCATCCCCGGCTACCGAGCACCTTCACCGGATGACGGACCGAACGCTACGCCGCAGCATTTCTCTGCTTAATCTCCCTCTTCCTCTCCGCCACTTGCCAGCTTGGTGCACCAAGGCACATCGCTTCTGTACCTACGAGCATCTTGACCAGGTTGTTAGTTGGTGTTCTTAAATCCAGGAGCCGAAAGCTACTAGGTGATGTCCTATTATAGATGTTCCAGTAACACTACTCGTGTTCCTGCCGTCGCGTGCAATGAGTACTGTGTGATACAATTGTGAGCTTTGACTTGGTCACACGTCGTCGTATAGAGCTGGGCCAATCCAGGGCCAGGCACCCAAGTGTCCCGCGAATATGCCGCTTGGCCCACCAGAGTTACTATCAGATAGTTCACAGTGTCATCATGCTGAGCCGTGTGATACTGAGCCGTTAAATCCACTAAGTCGCCGCCTGGTATCGGCTAAACTGGTAGGCCATGGATACTGAGCCATGGAATCGCAAGGACCTTACGCACAACGCACAGGCTATCCTTGCTCAACGGTTCACGCAGCGGCTCGCAGACCCATATCTTACTAGGCAGGAGAGTGAAGAGCTTCCTGCGCGCTCTCATCACTGCAAGGTATAATGCAGTTTATCGTCGAAATGCCACGCAGCGGTTCAATCTGGGAGCTTCGGTAGAGTAAAGCGTGACAAAGTTGGTTGACAGTCCTGTCTAGTCCAGCTAAGTAAGACCTGAGCAATATACATGTAGTCTGATTAGCTTGATTTAGTCCGTGTTCCCATTCATTGCTCTCACTCCGAGGCAAGTCTCTAGGCTAGCTGCGATGAAATGTAAGTTATAGAGATGTAGCAGGAGTCCTTCATATAACAGGCATGGTGACTAGAAAGAGAAACGTTTGATCATATGCCCGCCAGGTACAAAGATAAGGACGAATGGGAGCTTCTGATGACGCAGTAATAGCGGCGAGATGATAGTAGCCCGTATTGAACTAATACTTGGCTGTTGCGATCTTCTTTCGAGTACTCGTCCTTTCCACCCAATGCTTGAACACACTTGTGGTAACCTTGACTTTACAAACATTATCAATGAACATCTGGGTTGTCTATACTCTGGACTTCCACGTTATCAAGTATGAGCCATAAGAGAGTACCGAGTCGCATATTTGGTAAGGCTTGTCGACTGTGCAAA